GCTTATCAATCGGAAACTTAGGACATTTGACCAGAAATATTTATAAATTTCGAATGTTACAAATCGTTGAACTTCAGTAGATTCTCATCGGACATTAGTATTTTTACGAAAACATATAAATTCATCGAGGAGAGATCAGCGTATGTGGCAAAGGACAAAGCTAGCTAGCGTCCTAGTAAATCGTACTTAATCAACTCGTAATTAACTCGCTCAACGTAAACCCTCGATAAGTTTGTTTGTTTTTAATTATGCACAAAGCTAAACAAGGGCTATCTGTGCTCTGCCCACCACGGGTATCGAAACCCGGTTTCTAGCATTGTAAGTCCGCAGACATGCTGCTGTGCCACTGGGGGGCCCTCGATAAGATATCGAGGATGTTCCGGACAAGAAAGAAAACTTTATAGTGTTTGTAAGTTGGCGGGACTATTGTTTATAAATCTTTGTTTGTAATAACTATTTGTAATAATTGTTATTGTAAATTGTACTGTTGTGTGTATATTAAAATGTATTTGTGTTAAAAACGAAAAATGTGTGTCTATCTTGTTAGCAAATATTACAAACTGACTATATATCGGCGTTTATTTAAATACTAAATCCAAAGTATAATTTAATTACTAAATTTAAATTATCAATTAACTTGGCTTCGGACTATTTGAAATTCTAATACATAACAACTTTAACGATGAATAAATATATATTTAACGATAAATATGTTTGTAATACAAAAGAAGCCTTAATAAAAAAATATAACGATACAAAAACAAACTTAAGTCACCAGGGCACAGGCACTTCTATTCGCAAAGCTTTACAGTGCAAAGAGTAAAATAACAGAAAAATAATACGAAATAGGAGAGCAGGATGCCAGTGCTTAAGCCTAAAACGTCCCACATATATCACCTTTCACTGCCTGCAATACAGTTGTGGGGCAGTGACTGCTCTCAGAAGAAATGAAAAAGAAATAAGGTTCTACCATTAGGGGTGTTGAGTAAGAGAACTTTACCTCCTGAAGTTAGCGTTCCAGCCTCCATTATGGTAGAAAAGGCAAAGATTAATCAAATAATATTAGTTGTACAGCAGACAATTATACTACAATAAAATCCTTACAGAGTTATCTGAACTAGTATAACACCCACCATCTACCCATAAAGCCTACTATAGTTACTAATTTTCAGGCTGTCCTTACCTTTTATAAGAGCTTATGCATTCATCGGTGAATTATAAATATTACGTTCAAGGTTTACATTTTTATGATCCAATATGCGAGAGTGCGACTTGTTTCAAATCGTGGTTAGCATCCTGTATTCTCGAGGTTCCTTTTCTTCTCTCTCTTTTTTTTTGCTTTAATACACATGAAAATAGTATCTCGATGTTTTAAACGACCTTAATAAAAAAATTAACTTTAAAGATTAGCACAAATTTTAAGAATAATAGATTTAATTTTTATTTCTTAATTAGTTGTGAATTTATAATACTTATAATAGAATAATATGGAACATTACCGTTAGGTTTG